TTAGGGGGCCTTATCCCATGGAACTCTATTGTAAGGTAGGTACTACCGGTAGCTGGGATTTGAACCCTGATCTCTCACTTCAAAATCCATGCTGTAACTACTACATTATCCAGCTGCACCAGACACATTTATCTCTCTCCCACATACTCCTTCATCAAACTTTCTAAAGTTTAATGGCAAATATAAAATGTTAAGTTAGAACATGCTACATATTAAATTTTATGACTGAGGCATTTGGAAGGGAGATGGGCCTAGCTGAAGGTCCCTATTAGGCTCGGTGTGTGTGTGTGTGTGTGTGTGAGAGAGAGAGAGAGAGAGAGAGAGAGAGAGTGTTTCCCTGCTTCTTGAGTTACATATAGCTAGGCTGAGAACTGCTACTAGCCAGAGTACGCAGGGAACAACATGAACTGTTCGGTAAAGTAATTACCTTAAGTGGCAGGAATTGTTAAACATAGTAATGACAAAGTATTACTGGATAGTATAGCATTACATAGTGCTTGGCATACCACTAGATAGCCTTCAGTGTATCAGTAGATAATGGATACTCTTAACCAGTGTCAAAATAAAATTCAGCTCTCAGTGCTGTATAAAATGAGAAGCAGAGTGAACTGTTTTATCCTTTGTCCAGTGCGGATAATGTATTTGAGTGATTCAGAGGCAACCCAGATCATCCCTTCAAACTTGCCAGAACAAGGATTTATCACAATTACAACTTTAAACATACTGAAAAATAATTAAAATAATAACCTGAAAACCAACTGGCATGTATTTAAAAAGGCTACACAGCCAGAGCTTTTTCCTTCACCCAGTCTGAATCTGGGATGGCCGGTGTTCTTCTCTGAAGCATACAGCTGTTTTCCATTGTGTGTCTGAAAGTAGCACATCTTTATAAGAACTGTGTAACTTCTGTAAGAACACTCTTTGAAGTAACTTGAGCTCAATTATCCATGTTGCACGATTTAAGCAATGACTCCAGTTTCCAAAGGCATATAATACAGTAATCACAACTGTTGTAAAGAGGTGAAAGGTCACATTTCATATCCCGCACTACTTCTAATTTGAAATAGTTGGATAAAATTGGAAGCATCGGGGCACAGAGGAGGGGGAAGGGACTACCACCTGGAGCTTATTACAGTTCAGTAAAGAGAGATACATTCATCAGAGGTGACTACACATTTTTCAATTCTCATGTCTTCCATTGATTTATAAAATAATTCTTGAAGTTCATTTATATCCCACTGCAAACCTCAACTTTTTTGCCTCTCTCTCCACAACTAAAAAAATGTTTTTAACTATCTCCCCATTCTCTTTTAACTTCATCAACATAACACTCAAAAGACTTAGCTAAGGGACCCATAATTCAAACGGTAGCTTTGCTTGTAAAAGATATCATAGTCTTATACCTCTAGTGGGAAAAAAATAGGTAGCGTGTGACATAAAAGGCTTTTTTTCTAGAATCTTAAAGAATCAATGTCAGCAGACAACAGAGGGCAAAAGTGGATGAATTAAAGCCATGAAGGGCTTTAAAGGTGACAACCAGCACCTTGAATTGTACCCAGAAGCAAATCGGCAACCAATGCAGTTCCCGCAGGAGGTGCTACGTGTGCATACTGAGGTCTGCACAAAACCATGCAGGCTGCTGCATTTTGCACCAACTGGAGCTTCCAGGTGCTCCGGAGTGGTCCTTGGTGCCCTCTGAGTTTGCTTATTTTCTTGCAGACGTTTCATTACCCAAATTAGATAACATCATCAGTGCTAGTAAGGGGTGCGGTTTGCTGTCAGTTTATATTCTGGTGGTATGCCCGTCAGTGTTGGTGGGGGGGGGGTCATCTTAGAGATTCTTTGGTTGGGCTGTTTGCTGTTGGCTTCTTTGGCAATTTCTTGATAGGGGTATTGTTTACCTGATTGTTGGTCTGATATTAATCTTAGAATTAACCTATGTTGATCTTGGTGCTGATTGCTGGTGGAGAGGTGTTTAAGTCTTTTTGTTCCTTTTTGGGCTGGATGACAGTCCCTTTTGCATAGTCTATAGATGTTGTTAATGTCTATGTGTCTATTGATGGCTGATTTGTCAGAGTGCTAGGCTTCCAGAAATTCCCTGGCGTTTTTAGACTTGGCTTGGTCTAAGATGGTCACATTTTCCCAATTGAAGCTATGGTTAAATCTGTCTATATGTTGTGAAATTAAAGAATTCTCATCATGTCTTCTGACTGCTAGTTGGTGTTCCTGGATGCATTCTGCCAGTCTTCTGCCTGTTGTCCTACATTGTTGCAGTCCTTACATTGTATGTTGTAGATCAGGGGTAGTCAACCTTGGCTCTTTTACGACTCGTGGACTTCAACTCCCAGAATTCCTGAGCCAGCTTAGCTGGCTCAGGAATTCTGGGAGTTGAAGTCCACGAGTCGTAAAAGAGCCAAGGTTGACTACCCCTGTTGTAGATGACTCCTGTTTTTTCTTCTGGGGTTGCTGGGTCTTTTGGTTTGCTTAGTTGGCTTGTGTGCTATGTTGATTCCATGTAGTTGTAGGAGTCTGTTGGTGGTTTCTGAGATATTCTTGATACATGCCAATGTCATTCTATTTAGGGTTTGTGCTGTATTGGGTTGAGTGGTCAGGGACCTTTTGATAAAGTTGCATGAATATCCATTTTGTTGGAATAGGTTGTATAGATGTTTCCTTTTTCTGCTGTTCTGCAGTGTGTTTGGGCTTGTCTAAATAAAGTCCTCAGGCAGCTTCTCTTGTGGGAGGTTGGGTTGTTGCTTTGGTAGTGGAATACCTGATTAGTATGGGTGTTTTTTCTGTAGACTTGCGTTTTTAGTTTGCCATTGTGGTCTCTGCTGATCACAATGTCCAGGAAGGATAACGAGTTGTTTTCTTCTCTAGTAAACTGGATTACTTTAAAAATGTTGTTGATGGTTCTGTGGATGTTCTCGAATTGGTCCTTTTTTATTATGATGGTGTTGTCTACATATCTGATCCATATTTTCAGTTGTATTTGTGGAAGTGCTATGGTTTCTAGACGTTATGACAACCTCCACTATAAGTCCTAAAAGCAGTGGTCCCATAGGTGTCCCTTTAATTTGTTGGTAAATTTGTCCATCAGATTGGAAGTATGCAGTTAAGCAGAGGTTTATGAGATCCATAATCCTGGGTGTTTCAATCTTTGTGTATTTGGTTAAGTCAGGTATGCTGTGGAGAATTGCGGTCATGGATTCTTTGGTTAATTAGAGATCTACTTTACAGATAGTTGCATCCAATCTATCTAAGGTCAGCCATAAAAGACATAAAAGTCCAGTATTCAAACAGCTCCATTTCTGAATTTAGGACACTGGTGGGGAACGCTGTGATCTCTTGATGCTGCTGGCATTATTTGCCATGGTTCCAAATAAGTCAGAATAAGAGTTCTTCATTATCTAGAAGACAGATTCCCACTTCCTGTTCATGGGATCCAGCAGGCCAGGCAGCTCATCTGGAGATGATATTTAGCTATTATCTGTCTGATATGTCTTGAGAATAAATTAATAAAGTGGGTCTTGCCCCACATCTCATTTACTGATTGGCAAAAGTCGTCTGGCTGGGCAGCTAGGGCTGATGGTGCTGGTAGATAGTTTTCTTTATCTCAGTGTTTCTCAACCTTGACAATTTTAAGGCATGTAGACTTCAACTCCCAGAATTCCACAGCCAGCATTGCTGGCTGTGGAATTCTGGGAGTTGAAGTCCACATGCCTTAAAATTGTCAAGGTTGAGAAACACTGCTTTATCTCCTTGTTGCCATCTAGGGGTCATCGGGAATCTTGCAGCCCGGATATGGTAAACCCAATGGTAACTACCGTGAAACCTGAAAAAGTCGGATTCTGCCCTTGGGGTGGGGAAGAGCATTCTGAAAGCAGCCAGGACCGAAGGCAGCTGGACGCCCCTAAATCCTCCTGCCTTTTCCCCAAAGAGAGCTTCGGCTCGAGAGAACCCCTGTTGCCACACACACACACCCAGCGAGCGCCGAAGAGGCTGCCTACGTGGTCGAGGGCATCCCGCATTGGGGCAAGGGACGGGACTCAAAGAGCTGGCGCGAAGGAGCAGGACGGTCAGCCGCGTGGGGGTCTCTGGACGAGGAGGCGGGCTACAGTCGCCGGTCCTTGAAGAGAAGAGCCGAGGCCCCGAAGGCCGTGGCTCGCCTTTCACCGAAGCGACCCCCCGCCCCATCCCAAGCTCCGGCTGCGAACGAGTGGAAGGCGACAGCGCACCGGCACCCGCCCCCGGCTGGGCTGCCAGTCCCGGCGGGAAACCTGAGGAACTCAAAGCGCCGCCGCTTCGCCCTCCCCTCCCCTCCCCTCCTCAGAGTTAAGAGCCGCGGCCGCTTTCCTGCTATGAACGCCGCCCTGCGTTTGGGCGGGAAATTACGAAGGTCTCGCCAGACGGGACGGGGAAAAGGAGAAAAGAGGGCGACCGGCAGAGCGACGTCTGTTGGCGGGGAAATGAAAGGGAAATCTCCCCCTCCCCTCGCACTCCTCCCCCTCTCTTCCTTTTCCAGCGAAGGGGAGGCGGGGGCTCTCTGGCCGCTGCCGCCCCATGCGACGCCCAGGCTGGCGGCGCCCCCGGTGGGCTCCCCGTGACTCCTGGCCCAGCTTGTCATGTTTGTGGTTTGGGACGAGGCGGCGAGCCCGTGCGCCAAGAAAAGCCGAGCGCCCTCGAGCCCCGCCGCAGAACCCGGACAGCGCGAGCACCAGGCACCGGCTGCCTCTAACTACGCCCAGACGCTGCTTTGCTCGCAGCTCATTGGAGCGAGGGAGACGGGGCCGGTGCTGCCAGACCCTTGGCGAGGCGAGGCACGGAGCAGGCACAGAGGCCGAAGCCCCCCAGCCCGCCAAGCGCCTTTGGCCACCAGGGGCAGAAGGAGCATCCCGCCGCCCGAGGCCAGGCGGCCGATCCCGAGGCCAGCTCGCCCCCCCCCTTCGAGCTAGCCGGGGGCGCTTACCGGTCCTCTTTCCTTCCTCCACAGCAGGTGGCTCCGCGTCGCGATGGGGAGAGGGACGGTGCAAATGCTGCTGCTGCTGCTCTTGGGGCTCCTGCACTGGGGCCCTGGCGGGGAGGGCAGGAAGAGCTGGAGGCGGCGTGGACCGCAGCAGCAGCAGCAGCAACCAGCGGCGGCGGCGGCCCGAGAGCGAAGCGAAGCGGCTGGGCAGCCGGTGGAGAGCTTCCCACTGGACTTTACAGCTGTGGAGGGCAACATGGACAGTTTCATGGCTCAGATCAAGAGCCTGGCGCAGTCGCTGTACCCTTGTTCCGCGCAGAATCTGCACCAGGAGCTGAGGCTTCACTTGCTTCTGAACAGCTCGGTCACCTGCAACGACGGCAGTCCCGCCGGGTGAGTGTAGATGCCAAACTTGCCGCGCCTCATCTCTTTCCGTTTCAGTCAATTGCCCGTCTTCCTGGACCTTATGCCTAGTAGAAAAAGAGAACTTTTCATTGAACGCTTCTTCGTGGACTTGGCTCCGTGTACCTTAATTTGTAAAGCTTTGCGCCAGATTGCGGATCTGTATCCTCCCGTTTATATATATATATATATATATATATTTCTTGCCTGAAATATCTGGAATTAAAAGCAATACTGCTGGAGGCGCCTTGATTGGCAAATCTTTAACTGAAGGCAGACGAAAATCCTCAAACTAGGGCGGAAAGAGAAATTGTCTTCTAGACTTCTGAGATATTGATAACTGATCCGTATTAGATAAATTTATTCTAGTGCAAAAGATCAGGTGTTTGCAGAATGTATTGAAAAGATTTGGAAAGTTTCTCTGAGTTCTAATCAAAATGTAATTCTCAGAATGAGCTTAGTGCTCTGGATCAGTACTTAGTGAATTTCCCAAGCAAGCCTGTAGACTTTGCGTGTATGTGCTTAGTGCATGGCTAGTCCCTTTCCTTGTTTCATAAAGCATCATTTTTCCCCCAAGAAGAGATGCTTCAGAGAACACACCGAACTATTTACTATTAATACTTAGTACTTCTAAAAGTGCTGAAACAATCCATCCTTAGTGTTTAAGCTTTGCTTCCACCATGTGGCTGTTACTAAGAGCACAGTCAGTAACAGGTGGAATAACTCTTTCCTGCCTGGAAATACTTAGGAATGCTAGGAATTTGTTTAATGCATTTAGTTTGGAGCAAGATGAAAGCCGGCTCAGCCTGGCTCAGAGCCCCTGAGAAGGTCCTTTGATCAGACTCTGTTTGGAACTCTTCTGACAGCCATCCTGTTTCTTTCTCTTGTTCTTTAACCAAGCATTTTATGTAACTCTCTTGATATTATAATGAGTTGGTGTATCAAAGAGTTTGTGGTCGAGCGAGCCAGTCTCCCTAATTAAGTTCACGCTGCCTTCTATTTGTTCTTATTTTAGCTACTACCTCAAAGAATCAAAAGGCAGCAGAAGGTGGCTTCTATTCTTGGAAGGTGAGATTGAGTTTTCTTTAATTTTGTTTTGAGTTTTAAAGCAAAGTTCAATGATTTCAGGCTCTTTGGGTTAAAAAAATTCAAGAGATGACAGAGTAACATCCCAGCTGCTTTCTTCAAAGGTTTGCAGGGCATATTAATATGTGCTGCCTGCTTTCTCTGCAACCAATGTATTCATCCTTCCATCTTCAGCACCATTGTTGCACACGTGTCTTGCAAACTTATGACAGTCTAATAAGTCCAATAATTCTAATCAGAGCTACATACAGGGAAAAAATTCACTGAGTTCCGTGAGACTTGTCCATAGGTTTTCTAACCTGGTGCACTTCACACTGAGTGCAATTTCCAAAATCACAACCCAGCAATGCAATGTCTGAAGGGCACCAGACAGTGGAAGGATGGTACATAAGGCTCCTGTTGCCTTAGTCGATCAATCCATTTCTTCTGTTTGCTTGTACTTTAATTTTATCTCATCTTTGTACTTTCTAGATTTTGCTATATTTATTCAGTAAGCCTGTGAATTTGGAAACTTTTTATGCTTTTTCCTTTTTTTTCTTCTAATTCATAAGCTTTGCTATTTTGATGTCTCTGGAGATTCTCAATCATCCAGGTTATGGTTGTCACAAAGGTGCTTTCCCAAAAGATAACTGATTTTCTCGGGTTTTTTTCTTTGAAAACGTTTTGCTCCTCATCCACGAATCTTTTTCAGTTCTGACTGAATGGTGGGTAGAACCTTCTTGGGACTGAAGGTTGTCCACCCCCAGACACAAATTGAACAAGGTGGTTTATGCAGTGTAATGCAGTGAGACATGTGCAGATCTGTACATTAGGGAAACAAAACAACCACTTCACAAACACATGGCACAACACAGGAGAACAAGCCCATCAAGACAGGATTAAGCAGACCATCTACATCTGAAAGACAAAAATCATTCTTTTGAAGGCAGTAAAGTCCACATTCTGGACAAAAAGGACCACTGATTTGAAAGAGGGGCCAAAGAGGCTAACTATGTTAAAACTGAACAGTCCTCTCTCAATAGAGGGGGAGGGAGATGACACTACCTATCTTCTGTTTACAACACAGTCTTTTCAGCAGTCCCAAGAAGGTTCCACACCCATTTGCACACTGATTCAGGTGCCTCTGACAATACAGATAAACCCTCAAGTGGACTCAATGATGCTCAGAGAGCTAGCATGACAGCTAATGACCAACCTTCAGACTGCTGACAACTAGATGACTGCAAAGAATATAAATCCTTCCATTCCCCACTATTCAGTTAGAACTAAAGAAACTTCTTAGATGGGAAGCAAAACATTTGCAAGGAAAAAAGACCAAAGAAAGTCCAGTTGCCTTTTGGAAAAGCACCTTTGGAACATTTCTATTTTGATCTTAAACCATCTGTTTGGAAGTAAGTCCCGCTAAATTCATTGAAATTTTGTTTCAGATAAAAACAATTAGGACAACAATATTATGCTACTTTGGAAGAAATTATCAACTTTTGTCTAAGGATTACTATTGTAATTGTGATTTTTTTACATTTATTAGTCAGATAAACAAGAAAAACAAGAGCTGTCAAATAGCTCTATTCTAATTTCAAGAATCTTGTCAGAAATCCTGCATTTTCTACATAGGTAGTCCTCAGTTTTTCATCTCAACCCTCAATGTATACCTTTGAATCTAATAAGGAAAAACAGAGGTGTGTATGTGTGTGTATGTAATATAATAATTTGTAATAATATTACACACAGACTAAAGGCAGAGTCAGGTTTTTGTGGTTATGACCTGGAAGCAAATCCTATGGGATTTACATCCATGGATCATATCCTAAGGAATATGTCTGTTGTGTGCCCTGTAAAGAGCAGAACTATCTTTACTGGCATTTGATTGCTCAGTCAGAAAATAATAAAGCAATCCCATTTTAATTGGTTCACTTCCAGGTAAAAGAATTAGTGGGTAATATGAAAAAACCAATGGCATAGACATTAATTCTTTGAAAGCTACTAGAAAGCTGAATGAAAGCAAGCATGATTTGTAAGGAAGAAATTCAAGGCAGAACATACTGTATTATGAAAAAGATAGCAATGAAATCAGTATTGGGTTGCTGCTTACTTTTACAGTAGATGTTAAAAAGATGGCAAAGGTGGTAGACTACAATGCAGTCCTATCCTGTTCAATACATACTTTCATATTTACAGGAACATAATATTGCTGTGTTCAGATGGGATTATTGCAAAGGAAGTTTGCATAATATGACAAGTTTAAGGTCTCGATCAAATTAGATTCAGTGTTTACTTTATGTGGGATTCTATATAGCTTTTAAAATATATCTATCTGATCCATAAATTTGTATAGGAAAAATAATATCAAGTGTTATAAAAACAATTTTATGACTAATTTAATTCCACCAAGCATCTATTTCATAAATTGCAGCCTAAAATGATGTGAATTAATGATACAGGAAAAAATTACTGAGATATCATCATCATCATTATTGTTATTGGATGCAGGAGGCTGGTATTGCTTCAGCAGAGAGAATTGCAACTCTCGTTATGAAACAATGAGGAGATTAATGAGCTCCAAGGAGTGGCCCCTTACCAGATCTGGTAAATGTTTTGTTCCTATTAGTCTGAGATTTACATTGTGCCTAATTATGAATAGATGTATATTATTTTTAGTAATGTTCTGTTATTTATCTGAAATAATGTTTGTTTTATTCACTTAGCATTTACACAGGGTTTTTTTTTAAAAAAGTAACATACCAGAATCAAAATAATGCATGTAATTATTTTGAATTTTAATAGAAAGATGCAAAATCTCCTTTTCATTCTTTGCAAAGCAGATCTTCTATAAATTTAAGAGAACGGGAAGTATTTGAGTAGAATCTTAGAGCTGGAAGAGGCCATTGCAGTCATTAAATCTAGCCCTCTATTTAGAGTAGTAATTCAAACTGATATATTGTTGACAGCTGACTGTTTAAACTTAGTATGAACTCATGTTGTAAAAGGAAGCCCACTACCTCTCTGATTAATTGGTTCCATTGACAATTGTAATTGGTTCCACTGTTGTTATTTTTTTCAATCAGAAACTGCCCCCTCCATAACTTAAATCTATGATCTCCTGTTCTCTAGAATGGTGTGAAATAGAAATGCCAGTCTTAGACTACACAACCAAGTTTTGATATTTCTGCTGCAAGAAGGGCTGTGTGATAATGAATCTGAAATATTTTTTTATGTTAGAGAGCAATATTAATCTCAGATCTAACTAGCTTTGGAAGGAGTGAGAGTAATAATTAGATGGATGTATCCCCTCTCTTGCTACACCACATGCAGATTCCCAAATGCGTGTTACAGAAGTGAAGCAAGAGGGGGAAAAGGACCCCACTTTCCTTTTTGCCAATATGGGTATGAAGCAACAGGGTTTTAGATAAAGTAAGAGGCCAATTTCTTTCAATCCTACCTCCTCATAGATAATCATAATCCATTTTAGATTACACTGCTAAAGGAAATATTTGCATATAGAATTGATATTTGTGGTGATATTTGGTTATGTATTTCTTTTTACTGTATTCCCATATGTGTTTTGAGTACATCTAGATGGAAAAGTGGCATAAAAATGAGATATACCTATGCCTATATTTAGGAATTAAGAACAGTTCATTGTTTGCATCATTTTCTCTACTTGGTGCTGGATGAAGGTGTTGGAATACCGCACAGCTCACCTTATCCTTAGCCAGCAGTGGACATGTTAACTGAGGATCTGAAGGATGGTTTGGAAAAACTAAATTATTTTCTTTGGCTGAGATCTTATATATCCAGACAATATTAATAAAACATTGCTGTCTTTATATGACAGGTTTAGTTATCATAGGAGAAAGCACTGGTTCAGAAATGGAGATTGGCCAACTTTTGCTGGCTCACCAATACTTCGTGACAGTGTTAGCACCTTAATGCCTAATTTAATAATCAGTTATGTTCAAAATGCTCAGCATGTTGTAATTTTCCTTTGTTCCCTTGCTTAGATGAGTCTGTGTGTTCTTTACTTCTAAAACTTTTAGAGGCTGTAGTCTATCCAAAACATATCTGAGAATAAGGGTCCCTGAATACCGTATGCTGGAGTTAAATTTAAGTATATTGTACGTGTTTAGGTTTTCCGCTAGGTAAGCCTGTTTAGACCAAAAAGAAGAAATTTTTCAAATATCACTTGTATAGGTTCTATTTTTGTACACATGAAATACAAAAATGAAGTGTTAAATCTAATAATTTCCTGTCTTAGTCTGAGAGATTTTTATTCTGACTATTGCATCTTTTCGGATGCTCTGGCATATATACCTACAAATGTTTTTTTTAACCATCTGTCAGTGTATTAATGCTGAATCTTCTTTGTTCTTTGCATTAAAGATATTTTTCTTTATGTGTTAGTATATATTTTTTTCTTCATCTACAGGAACAGGCATTTTGTCATCACAACCAGAAGAAAATCCTCACTGGTGGAATGCAAATATGGTGTAAGTAAACAGCTGAGGGGAGTTGAATGGAATAGTCAAGCAAAAATAAACAAGATAGAAGAATAGTAAACTAGGGGAAAGGAGACCTTAGCCTGCATGTGAAAAAACAAAGGACCAGAGCTTGCAAGTTGTAATGTTCCTATAAAGAAAGCAAGAGTAGAACTTTACAAATGAGAATAATTGCAAGACAGAGTGGATGGTTAGTGCATTAAGAAAGTCTTCCAAAACAATCCAAAGACAATGAGGAGGGAAAATCCTAATGGTCAGATCTGAAGTTCTGTCTGATTCCTGCCGGCAAGGCAGAAGTACCGTAGATGGGTAGGCTGGAAAGAAAAAAAAAACAATATTGTACTTTTCCCTTAGTCCAGGGCTATATTGGAAGCACCACTGCTAGGTCTCTAAATGAAGAATGGCTTGGCCATAATGGAGAAGCCAGCGAGAGTGGATTTTACTCTCTGTCTGCACGCCTAAAGAACTGTAGTTTTAGGTATTTCCTATAAGAGTAATAATTGACCTGAAAAAATTATTTTGATTATGTGCCATGTACACAGAGTTTCTCCAGCAAATAAATTCATACTAAGCCTTTTAAAAAAGTAACATATTCTCATGTAAATAGGACTTCTGGCTAGGATGATTGGATAGCAGACTCGGGAAATAAAAGCAAATATCAGAGGATAGCCATTAACCCGAAAGCCCCCTTGCGAGCTACTGTCTGTCTGTAGTTAAATGCTGTTAGAATGGCTGATTAGAATTAGAACGGCTGTTCTATTCATTAGGATATTTTTTTTTCCTTGCATGGCATTGTTTTTGGACAGCAGGGACATTCTTGACCAAGAGTAATTTCTAATTCAAAAAGCATCTAGACGAATTAATGTGTAACTATCAAGTAAGATGATGTTGATAGCTTTAATGGAGCAAAAAAATAAGAGGGGAAAATAGAAATAGAGAATCAGAACAGTGGCATTTGCCATGCAGATCTATCAGAGTTTTAAAATTACTGAACATTTTCCATGCTTGACATAAAAATAAAGACCTGGTTTCTATTCTTAAACATGTATTGGAAATGCACTAAACTTTGACCAACTGCAGCTCCCTGGCATTTAGCTCAAAAATGTTACAGAAATTTTCATTATTTTTTTTTTATTTTGATGCTACATGCCCTGAGATATCAGTTGTTGTATAAAAAGCTGGTACCATCAGATCTGAGTGAGCCGAGCTTAAACAATTTTCTCCTATCGCTCTTAGGGTTTAATCTGCTGGATTTTTACTCTTGTCTTACCCTTCCACGCATATCAAAAGAATATTGGTGCTCAAGTACATCTGTTCTCTTGCAGTTTCATCCCGTATTGCTCAAGTGATGTCTGGAGTGGAGCCTCTGCCAAAACTGAGAAAAGTGAGTGCTTCTGACAGGCTCTTGCTGCCAAACAGGCATTATGCATTAAGGGGGAATCTGGCCTGAATTCTCCACAGTTGTGCAAAGGAAGAAAGGATTCTTGCCAGCGGGCAGGAAGAAATAATAAATATCCTCTAGATAATGCATCCGCTTGCAAGCCCTGCTTTGTCACGGTTCAGAACCCCACATGGGAGTAACCGAGCAACAGCCTGAGGGAAATGGTTGCATCTCAAGGGTCTGAGCAACTGTTTCATTTAGCTAAACTTGAAATAAGGAAGGACCAAATGGTGCCAGGACTTCCAAATGGAATCGAGAAAGTTCTTGATATCTGTGCATGCGCTTGAGGGCCATTGCCATCTGGATCTATCACAGATACGGCATGGGAAGGCACTGTGTGGCCAGAAACATCCGTCTGGACGATGATGGATGATAAGTGACAAAGAATTGCTTTTGGACTAAAGAACAGCTTTGGGCAGTTTAAAAGTTTGGGATTTTACAACATAACTGACTCAATTGGTAAAATATGGACCTTTTGTATTTCTCTTTCCAGAATTTTATATTCTCTTTAGGATGCCTATCTTTCATTTGGTGTCCGTAGCTAACACCACAGATTCCTGGATATCACTAGTACTGGAATGATCTTGCACGAAGAATATCACTTTTCACAATGCTATTTGGCAAGACTCATATCTAATTAAATGAAAAATTTCTAACCTTAAAAGGGAAAGCTGTATAGAAAAAAAATCCTTTATTTCAGTTAGTTACTTTTTTTGAAGTGGGTTGATCTCCTGCCTTGACCTCAGGGACAGCAATAGAGGAAGTTTTCTGAGCACCAATATTTAACTGCCTTATCTGTATTCCCTTAAGGAAGAGTTTGCCTCACATTACATTAGGAATAAAGGATGTAGTTTCCATCCTTGCACCCTTATTTTTTTGCAATTTTTCCAGGCAGCTGTTCTCAAGGGAGCACCACAGCGGCCAAATACTTTGAGCTTCAGGATCCTAGGCTACAAGTGTTGTGCAGGAGAACTGGGAGTGGCCATCTTCCCAGTTTTCCTTTTGCATGGAAAACAACTGAGGAAGTTGTGACATTGTCAATGTCATCTTTAATGTAGATTGATGTATGATACCACAAGTCCCTCTGTTGTTTTCCATGCAAAAAACAAAGATACCCTCCCCAAGCAGTAGCAGCCATTCCTGACTCTCTTTATTTCCTTTCTAACCTCAAGAACTGTTTCTCTACATGTAGTTCTTTTCTGCATTCTACAATAGGATGTAGTCTTACTTCGTTAGGATGTACTTCTCTTTCATCATAAGACATCCTTTATGTTGATTGAAGGTCATCATTTGAAATTGATGGAAACTATATTTTCTCTTCTTCAATCTACTAGTTTTTTAAGGTAGAAAAGATGTAAAGTACATTAGCCTGACTCACATGTTGCAACGAGTCATAATACAACTGGTTTGATTCTGGCATAGAGTTACAGTATTTGTGAGCATATCTACGGTGGTTTGTAAACTAAGACCAAGGCCTTTACACAGTTGGTTTTTGCTAAATCATAGTTTGAGATATTCTATGAATACAATCCCAGTTTCCAATGGTAACGTTTAGTTTCAGTTAACAGTTATTTAGTGATCATGTGCTATATATTCTAGCAAGGAAAAACAATTGAGATGCAGGTTGGGTGGAAGCAGAGGTAGGCAATTGCCAAAGAATGCTACAATCTTTCTCAACAGGACCTTCTCACAAGAGCTACTTCTTTCTGTCCTCTGTTCTGTTCTTCCGGTATTTGGATGGGGAACTTGTAGCTTCTAGATCAGCTGAACCTCAGCTCCCAGCTATTGAAGCTATCATGGCCAAGATAAGAGATGTTGAGAGTTGAAGTTCAGCAATATTTTGAGGGCCACAAGTTCTGCTTTCCTGAAACAGCAGAAGTATACACCATAATTCAGATTCCCTGCTGTGGGTAGAGATCCATCTCACTGGTATTTTTTAAGAAGCTTTCCCCAGAATTCTGTTCTTTCTTTGATCAGCTTATAAACCATGTACTTAGGAGATCAGGCAAGTAAATGTTCAGAAAACTAGTCCTAAACATTAAAGAATATGAAAGGGAGGGAATGTCCAGTTTGTCACATTCAACAAAGAAATAAAAGAATTTAGATTTGAAGCATGGTAACAGACTTGCAATATTTGCTAGATTCATTTTTCCACTGAACATTCATTGGTAACTTATGGTATACAAGTACATTTTTCAATATTCATTACTCCATATCTTCAACAGGAATGGCAAAAAATCTTAACCAGTTTTACTTATTATGGTTGTTTTTCACTTCTCCCCCTTCCCCTTAACTTCCTACAGATGAATTTGTCTTCATGGGTGCTCTCATCATACAAGAAGTTGTAAAGGAATTATTGGGGAAGAGCCTTGGAAATGCCAAGGTGTTGCTGTTGGCAGGAAGCAGGTATATGTCTGTTTATGAAGACACATCTAGTAAATGTATGTTTGTGTGTGAGTTGTTGAAGGGTGTTAATAAAACATTTCAAAAGTAAATATAGAAAAAGAAATAATAGAAGCAAAATTTTAAAGTAAGTAATGCAACTATGACTAACAGTACTTGCTGAAATGCCCACTTAAACAAAATAGGTTGTTTTTTTTGCTCCGAATAGGATGTCAGCTCCAGGAGAGATTTTTTTTGGGGGGGAGGGTGTTTCACAGGTAGAGCAGTCTTCAAAACCTGTTTTGACAATTGTCCACCTAATTTTAAGATGCTGGAATCGACCTCCAAAATCTATTCCCATATGTTTTTTCTTGTTTGATAAAATCATTTTTGAAGCCATTCTGCAAATGCCCTCTCATGGTAAGCATTCAGTGGAAGCCATGATGAGCTCACAGATCTTGTGTCACTATACAAATGATAGCAATTTGTATCACTTATTTATACAATGTTGTAACATCAATCTTATGCAGCAGGGCAGTGAGTTGCTACCTGGAATGGGCTTTTTCAGTCTCCATTCTGGAATGTCTTCCCAGTGAAGTACACTTGGTTGTTTTTTCAGAACCAAAGGCATTTTTGTTTTCTCCAGATAAAACTATTATTTAATCAATTAATTAACAGATATGCTGCTTAAAAACTTGCTAATTATTCTGGCTTCTCTTTGTTTATCTTATGTATTTTAATTATTGCATTTTAAATTTATTTTGAATTCATGTGATTTTTTTTAATGCATTGTAAATGGCCCAGGGAATGAACAAATGAATAAGCAATTAAACTTGGCATTTAATTAACATGAATTGATGTGATGTGTAGACCTTGCCTACAAGCATGGTTTTGCAGGCAACAATATGGAGGAGTTCTGCTTCAAAGACTTCACCTGTCGTTGCAGTGCTGGTGGAACAGGGGTCCTCCTGAATGTGGATCGCGTGGCTGAACAGCTGGAAGAGCTGGGATATCCTGGGATTCAGGTCCGTGGCCTTGCAGACTCTGGCTGGTTCTTGGATAATAAACAATATCGTAGGACAGACTGCATTGATACCATAACCTGCGCCCCCACAGAAGCCATCAGGAGAGGAATTAGGTACTGAAGTTTTTAACATCTTTCCTGGAAATCTAAAACTGGAGTGAAACATCCAGTGAGACTTTCCCTTGAGAGTTCAGATGACCTAGTCTTCAGGGAATGCTAAGTAATATTCACGAAATGTGGCTGTGTAAAAAGTACATAGTAGACATTCTAGTAATCTATCAAGAGACAGAGAAACTTAAGGTGTATTTCATTCCAGCAAGCACCACTTGATGGGGTGAGCTCCTTTTCTTGCTCCAGCTCCTGCCATCCTAACAGTTCAAAAGCATGCAAATGTGACTAGATAAATAGCTTCCACTTTGGTGGGAAAGTAACAGCGTTCCATGCACCTTCAATGTGTTGGCCCAATGTTGGCCCAATGACCACAGAAGCCTCTTTGGACATTACTGCCTCCCTCTGCTAGGAAACAAAGATGAGCACCACCCCCTAGAGTCAGACTCCTCAGAACAGGGGAAAGCTTTACCTTTTAACTTTTTATATATATATAAATATATATATATATATTCTCAATGTGTGATTTGTCTGCCCTCTACTGTCCGCTGTTTTTGGAATTTACATACTAATAAAGGAGAATATTTGTAGGTCAGGGTTGACATGAGGGATTCTTGGTGCTCTCTGAGCTTGCTTGTTTTTTTGCAGACGGTTCATTACTCAAACTAGGCAACTTCATCGGTGCTAGGACTAGGACTAGCACTGATGATGTTACCTAGTTTGGATAATGAAACGTCTGCAAGAAAACAAGCAAGCTCAGAGCACCAAGGACCCCTCATAATTTACATAGTCTTGCCTCTTAGTCCAAGAAATTCTATATATAGCATACCGGTAGTTAACTATTTCTAGTAGAATGAATTTGGATAATTAACTCCAGCTAATTTTTTTTAACTCTCAGATATTGGCATGGACTTGTTCCTGAACGCTGCAAAATGCAGTTTAGAGAAGGAGAAGAATGGAATTGTTTCTTTGGCTATAAAATTTATCCTACTCTCCGATGTAAGTGTGCCAGTGAAGGCCTATTGCTGGGTGATATCTGAAATGCATTTCAGACAAATTCTCCTTATCGGTATAATTAATGCTAAGTGGTTATTATTAAGCATTGCCAGTATTGTCAACCAGATAAAGGTTTTGATTTAGTTAATTATGTGATTTTTACTCTCTTAATTGATTTGCTGAATATAAATAAATAAGCATGTTACTTTAATACTTCAGTATAAATGGGATGGGTTTGGGGCAGCGAGACTGTTTTAATTACTGAAGAAAGTATGGAATAACTTGCAAGAGACATATACAATTTAGCACATAAAGACTACCGTGTGATTAAATAAAAATGGTTTTAATAGTAAATGCACAAGAAAATGTTACATGACATACCAGGATATACCAAAATTTATCCTTAATTTTTTGTTTCTCTTTCTAAAATTTCCACATACTAAGAAGTCTAATCCGTTCTTGGTTACTTAGTTTATCACTTAAGCCAGTAAGTTTATAGCCCTATTAGTGATGCTATTGGTACTAAATTCTCCTCTGTGTAGGTCCTGTTTTTGTGGTGCAATGGCTGTTTGATGAAGCTCAACTCACTGTGGACAATGTACATTTGACTGGCCAGCCTGTACAGGAAGGACAGTGGCTTTATATCCAAAACCTGGGCCGCGAACTGAGGAACACTCTCAAGGATGTGACGTTAGTTTTGTTTCATGTTTTTAAGTTTCCTTTTACGGAAATTTCCTTTCGTGGGGTCTAGAATTTTTTTAAAAAATCTTCCAATGATATGTCACATTACAGTATTAGATAAACAGTAGACTTGTACAGTTAAAATTTTTGTTTGTATTGCTGTTAGTGGGAATCAGCACTGCATCTCAGGCCTTTTACTCTGCTAAAATTAAGATAAGGACAGTGGCTTTATATTCCTGTCATATGACTCAGCTGCTTTCTCATGACAGAAGTATTCACAATACCCAGTCACAAGAGATAATGAAATTAAATCTGTGGTGACTTAGCTTCTGTATGATATGTTAAGCATAGTGCTTCAAAGCAACTCAGGTGTAAGATCTAAGCTTCTTGCACCTAGCAACTTTTATAGTTAACTTTATTGCAGCAAAATGCCTAAATTCTACTATGAAAAAACTCAAAAGTTGGTAAAAAAAGACATACCAAACTGTTTCTTTTTCTATTATATTGATTTTATGACTTTTCCCCCTTCTCATTCAGAGCCAGCTTTGCTCCAGCTTGTTTGTCTCATGAGATCATAACACGCAAGTAAGTACGTACGGTGGAAAGATGCAATGTCCTATTTTCTCATTTCTTCTCTATCAAATGAAAGACATTCACTCAGTTATTTATTAAGATAGGCTGGCTGAGCAGAAAATAAATTGAAATCTACAGTCTATTTGTAGATTTCTGGGTAATTTACATTTATAAGCATTTATGATTGGTAGAGGTGACATAAATTACCCCATGCCTTTTAATCAGAGTGCTAAAAAGAAGGAAAAGTGGGGTGGGCAGGATTGGTCTTTTACTCTAAAAAGACTAAATATAGTTTGGATGCTGAGAATAAACGATTGGTTTCAGTAGACTCTCTTGAGTTATGCCTATCCTGTGATTAGTCACCTCTAAGGTAATGTTCTAAGTAGCATGCAAATTGTCACACTCTTTCATCTATATGGGTTGCTTTTTCAGTCATTGGACAGACATCCAAGTGAAAGGGACCTCTTTGCCCCGAGCTCTGCACTGCTGGGATCGCAGTCTACATGACAACAATAAGAATGGGAAAGCCCTATTAAAAGGCTGCCCAGTCCATCTGATTGACAGCTGCCCGTGGCCACATTGTAACCCATCATGCCCTACCATCCGGGACCAATACACCGGCCAAGAGATGAATGTGATCCAATTTCTCATGCATATGGGTTTTGATGTGCAGAAGATGGCGCAGCAGCAAGGGCTGGAGCCCAGTAAACTTCTAGGGATGCTGAGCAGTGCTAGCTAGAAGTGTATTCTCTTAACGACGACGGCTCGACTCTTTAGACACCCAAACATTCTGCCTTCTTTGCTCACGTACATCTACAGGCCTAAGTAGCCAAACTAACGCACATAGCTCTTGCATAATTAGCCTATCAGAATCAAATGGACAGAATCTCATCTACATCACTTAAACGAAGCATTACCTCCACATTACTGCCAAGCAGTACCTCTGTTCACAAGGACAATCTATAGGAAGTAACGGGTGCCTAGAAACTCCAGTTTCAAGAACCCATAAGGGCCTTCATACATTTCATCGTTTCCAAGGTATTTCTAGGCCATAGAGTGACTTTGGGGATGGGTGGGAGCACTGAATTATTCTCTCATCAGAAGTGAAGGTCTGACCACGAGGACTTCCTGGAGCCAGCAGCTCACCATGTAAGATACTGTACAAACAAAGCACAGCGGCTACAAATGGATCTACAGTGTATTCAATTTACTTTTGTATTGTTTCATGAAATAATTTTATTACTTGACTTTTTAAAAAAAAAA